AAATCTTTTCATGCCCATAGTTAATGACTTTATTTGAGCGTTTTTTTTTTCTTAAAGGTTCTGCATTCTGTTTTAATGCATGCAAACTATTATTATTTTCATTATTGGCATTAGAAACTGCTGATAAAAAATAAAATTTATCTGATATTGTATGCTGTTGATTTCCTGTTGGAGTATTTGTTGTAGTAATTTTCGATCTATCAAGCACAGAACATTTATTTTCTGCTGAGTCTTTGTATTCCATAGTTTTACAATTTGAGTCTTTAGTATATATAGAATCTTGCTTATCAGTCATTAATTTACTAAAAATTGCAGTTGATATAGGAACAAGAATAGGAATAGGAATTGGTATGGGTATAGGTATAGGATATGGTACAAGAAGTGTAACAGGTGGCAAAAGTGTTGTAGATAATGAATTTAAAGATTGAGCTTGATTGAATTCCTTAGATGAAGAAGTTCTTGAAGAGACATTATTTTCCTTTTGATATTTTGTTTGGCTAGATTCATTTGTACAAGATTTAGACAAAACTGGAATATCCTGATGCAATACAGGTGCTGTTGAATGTGCAAACCAAGATGATGATTGTAGCATATTTTCTGAGAAATTACAATGTTCTTTTTCTTGATAATTTTTCATGTTTCTTATATGTATATTCTTTTCTGAAAATGTGTTATTATTTTGATGATTATGTGAATTATGGTTTATAATGTCTATTGTGTCACATTCCTTTTTGAAATTTTTATACTTCAAGTCATTTTTTTCTAAATAACTTACTCTACAATAAGTTTCATTATTAACAGAATGACAAAATTTGTTTTCTCCATTTACTAAAAATTCTTCCTTAATATGTTCATTAATATTACTTTCATTAATTTCAGTACAAAAGTTTCCTTTCCTTTTATTACAGTGGTTCATTTTTGCACATTTTTTTACATTAATTGAATCTTTTTTTCTACATACTCTTTGATTAGATTCCACTAATTTCTCAATATTATTTTGTTCTATTTCTGTTGTTCTATCATCATGAAGACATGGAAATAAATTAGATGTGACATGTTCATCACTTAGACATGTATCCTCTGTAGAACTATTTAATGGTGATTGGCAACTTCGAAACCACAGCTCAGGTGTTATTAAACTACTCTTTTCTGTGTCATGGAAAGAAGCATTATTTAAACCTTGTAGCATTAAGTGAGTTTGAGTTTCATGACAAAAGATATTCATTTTATATTGATTCAAACACTTATCACTACAAAATTGAAGTTGACTTTCACTATCCTAAAAAGACAATACATTTAAAAATTATATAATGCACTAAATATTATTTACTTATGGTATAACATAAAATTTTGAATTTGTGTTGCTAAAAAAAATTCCTTGTATCATCAATTATTTTATTTCACTTACATCTTCTTATCATTTAATATTTTATATTTAATTTACGTACCTGAAAGTCAACATAACTAATTGGATTTCGCATATGTCTACACCAATCACATGTCTTTACTTGTTTAAAAGCTGCTTTTCTGCCAGCTGCAATACATGCTTCGCTACAAAAATGTCCCAAAGTATTCATCATATTATACGAAAGAGAACTGGATCTTTCTGATTCAAATATTTGAGTAATTCTACCACACCAAGAACACGACATATTATCTGCAACATAATACAGATGTGTTAAAAATATTGTAACAAATTTATTTACAATAAATTGAAAACAATTGGAATATATTAAATTGAAAAAGAAATTTTCTTTATACATATAATTCACATATATATATATTACCTGAGCAAGTAGGATTTGAATAATTTTTATATGAAAATTTGGGTATAGGATCAAGCGATACATTTTCCAAAGATAAAGAAGGTGTTAATAATTGTCCACTTATGGACATTAAACTATTAGTAGAATAAGGCAATGGTATACTGGAAACTCCAAAAAATGAATTAGATGTATTCACTGATGTTGGAGATCCATTATGTGTAGATGTAAAATGATCCAAATTTAAAGTTCTTGTGCAAGCACTATCTACTTTGTCATAGCCATACCATCCCAATAATTCACTCATTGTAGTTGCTGCGTACTCCTATGAAAAAATAGTTCAATATATTTTTTTAATGTAAAACCTGGTTTTATTATCACTATTGAGACCACTTGAAAGATATAATTTTTAAGGAAAAATAAAAGTTGTAAGAACAAGTATTTTATTCAAGATAAATTTCATTTCTTTATAGATTACTAATACATAATTGAATGTTCATTAGTACAAAATGATGCATCTTTGTTTTATTTTGAAAACTGTCAGATACTTCTGCTCAACCCTGTACAAATGGTAACATTATGTTTAACTGTGTTATATACTTTCTTATTTCACGAATACAATCGTTAATTTCTTAACCAAAATTGTGCAAAAAAAAAATTGGCACCAATATTAAACATTATTGAAATTTAAAATTTTAAATCAATATATTTTCCAATTTCCAAAAATAAAATTC